TCAGGAAGGAAAAGCGAACGGTACAAGTTCAGCAGTCGGCGCGATAAATTAAAGAACCTTAGTCTGTAACAGCAGTGTAAAAATGGACAGCGACAAAACGCTGCAAGGTTATGAATAAGAATATGATTAAGAAAACTTTAGTAAATATGCATTGCATAACACTGACAAACATAACAGCACTCTTATGCAGATTTCATCCAAAGAATTGTTAGAGTGAAGAAAAATAACAGAAACATCTGCTTCGAAATTTAACGCAATAGAATACAAAAAGCTATTGTGTTTGAAGACAATTAGGAAATATTCTTACTTCAACTCGACTTCCGCTCTGGATGGTCCCAATTTTATTTGGCTGGAAGTTCCCTAAACAGTATTATCAATTATGGACCAACAAGTTTAAAAATCAAGGTAACAAAGCTGGTTTCTCCTCACTAAATCGATTGGCATTAGCTAGCTGGCACGGTAATGAAATAGTGATCTATGCCTTATCAGTTCACAATTGCAGACAGCATCCTAATCAAGGCGCTTTTGGAGATGAAAACATGAATTTAGAGCACTCATGCTTTCCTAGGTCAACATTACTTTTGAAAATCACAACCATTCAATAAAACAGCATTGGGAGTTTATGCTGCAACTTGTTTTAACTGTTAGAATGATTTTTGTGGGTATCACAGTAACGAGGTGGCCTACCGTTTGTTGAAATTTTAGATTCCGTGGAAAACCATTGAATTTTTTATTTGATGACGAAGAAGAATTCACGTTCATTTCCGATGAGTGTAGACTGAAAAAGTACCACTGTATGACGCCAGCACTGCGAAAAAGAAACGTTCTGCGTTGATCGAGCTATGAGAGATGATCCATGCATTTAATTTAATCTTGATCGAGTACCGCAGAGGTGATTGCATGCATACCTGGTCCATACGAAAATTTGCGGTGCTCAGTCGTTGTATCAAATAAATGTTTATTCCTCCTAGACAAGTCTGGGACCAAATTTTCCGATCAAGGAAGATGGTAGGCTTGGCAACGTATGTGTGCGGGATCAACGCGGCGAGCCCATTATGTATGCATATTGGGGTACCTCTAACTAATGCACTGCGTGCGCCCTCAGCAATACACTGAAATGTTCGATATAAGAATCAATTTGATTGCAGTTCGGCTTCTACATCGTCCCTGGGCAATCGGTCATTCTTCGTTCTTACTTTAATTTTTGAATTCAGTTTCAATATCGTCTGCGAACCAAGTAGTACGAATATGGAACAAAGGAGTCGTTGCCGAATAGATAATTGCTTCGGATCCACACCGTGGTGAAGACCTGGAAACGCACTTACAAGGTTAAGTAAGGAGTTCAGAGGTGACCAAATTGCTCAAACAGCAATAGGTCAGCTGTAGCACTCCACGTACTTCTTATTCTGAGCGTATAATACCAAAACGCTCGTCTCAGATACCAGTGTCCATGTCCGTCTTGAAGGAGGAAATAGAATTAAATTTTATGCGATGGCCTTGCAACAAAAAAAGATTGACATAGACCAGCTGATCAACTGCTCTTGTCGGCCGCGGAGAAAAAGCCTCGTAACGAAATCTCGAAGGCGCAGCTTTGCCGTTCAATCAACCTTTGTATATCTCGTCAAATCGTACGAGATCCATTACCTTCGCGTGGCCATACTCCGCCTTTACCCAACGCGTAAGAAGATTATCATTATTACCATTTGCTACTTACCTACCGACGCATAATAAACGTAGCTTCCAGTGCAAAAATCAACAATGCACAGGTAAGCGAGCGCTTGCGACATTTGCGACAAACCCGTTAGAAGACCATGAACAAAGATCTTCATTAAAAGAGAGGAACAGAGAAGATTTAGAAATACCTACTATGTCACAAGCGAATATGGTCACCATACACGGAAACATACAAGATTAATCACAAACCCTGCTCCGGTTTCTTTCACATCATTGCGAAAGAGA